TCCTTGACTTGTTTCTTCTTTCTAAAAGGTGTTTTTGCAAGTTTGGAAAATGAAACTAGTCAAAAGGTGAAAGATCTGGCGAATATTGTTGGTGTGACAAAACATTAACTTTTGTTTATCACAAAAACTAATTTACTCTTCATGGCGTGTAGGTTGGGACGCTGTCATGAAGATTCTTGATTCTGTTTTTATCCTCTCATAAACGTTTCGATTATTTGCAAAAATTTGCTTTCTAGACTTCTCCTAAATTGAACTGCCTTCCCGAATAAGAATTTGAATAACAAGACCACTAATATTTAAGAATATGTCATATAAAACTGTTTTGGGATTTTTCAATTCTTTGCTCTTTTTAGACCTTGGCTGTTTTTGTCAAGTGCATCTTATTGTAAATTTGTTTTGAGGGTTTAAACCTATGGATTCAAGTTTCACTATTTATTTGAATTTCAGAAAAACGTGGATAACTTCAATAATTGTTTAGATATTCTTCCACGCTGTCGTTTTCGCTCTTTTTTCAAAATACTATGGAGTACTAAGTTTTTTTACCGTCAAATGTTTCTTTAAAACGGTGTAAACTATCGCCAAAATGGTGCCTACCACTTTTGCTATGTGTCTTACAGTCAATCAAACATCATCAGTGATAATGTTTTGAAGTTTGGCAAACAATACAATGGTTGTTGTAAGTTTTGTCGCCAAGGATGGTGCCCAATTTTGATGCCCGTGATACCATTTTTCTTCATTGAAATCCACCTGCTCATGTGCCTTTAAAACATACATTGATAGCTGTAAATTTCACTTATTTCAATGAATATTTCTTTGGGATTTTTAATGAGTTTTACAGCAGTCTTAATGAAAAGTTTAATTTCATCCTAGATTACTGATTCTTTACCATTCATTTTAAATTCAGTGTCTCGAATAGCCCTTGTTTCCCAGCTTCTCACAATAAAATTATATGATGCAAAGTGGTCAAATAAACTGTAATATAATCAATTCATTGAAGATTCTTTCATGAGAGAAAGTCAAGATTACTGTCATTTGATTTCTATATTGTATGTCATAAAGCTCAGGACATTGTTTATTGAACAGTTCTCGTAATAGACAGATTTTCTTTACAATGCTATCTTTGTAAGCCTAGGCCTATACCCTCTATGTACAAAAAAGCAAGTCAACTGAATTAGACTTTCATCCCATAATCTTGAAATTGAGACAGGACGACATAATAAAATATTTAGGGTGACTAGAATGTGTAGCATGCGCAAAAATGAAGCAGAGGATGAATATCATTTTGTTGTAATCTGATCATATTTTGAAAAGCTTCGTAAAAAATATCAAGAAGTACATGTATTACAGGCAGAAGCCATCTGTTTTTAAATTTATACAATTAATAAGTGTTCACAATGTACATGGGCTCTGTTATTAGGAAAATATATTCATTATGCTTTTAAGTTGAGGGAAAGCTTTCTCTCGTATGGTAATTCTCCATGAACTCATTATATCCATTACATTGTATATTATATTTGTAATCTATAAAACCCCATACAATGCCAATATCAAGATTTTTTATTATATGTTTTTGAAATGCGATAAGATGTATGTCTCAAGCAATAAATTAATAATTATAGTATTTAGCGGAACGAAACAAAACACAACGAAGTTAAAAGTAATGATAACTAGAAAGTCTGCTATTGTAAGCAATAGCGTATGTCGCCCCGACCTGGACGAGACTTTCATTTTTTTCATCACTAAAACAATACCCATTAGCTAAGCTTGGGCAACCATCAACTCTTATCAGTCCTTTTTTCACTTTTCCCCTGTTTCCCTGGCAACTATTGACAATTTGTAATTTTTAATTACAAAGCGCACAATTACAGATATTAGTCAATAAATCATAAAGTTTCATGAAGAATGTTCAAGGGACCAGAGAGAACACTCTCAGACAAAATTTGGCGCTTTTTTCAGGTTTCCGGTAGACATTTTGAAACTGAACGTCCTCACTGCAAAACTACAACTAGAGATCGTCTTCTGAGGAAAGTTTCAGGAAGATTGTCCCAGCCATCTCCGAGAAACAGCCCGGAGAACAAAAACATGCGTACAATCGCAATGTGTCTCCCCCGACTTCGTTCGGGGCGACATAATAAATAGACACATGCAAGCGCTCCGTTGTTATTCAAGTTAATTATTCTCGTACATGTATGCTAAATTACGAAAAGCGATATTAACGAGAGGAAGATTAGAATCTTTGTTTGAAGAGGAAAATTATTGTAGAATTCACCCATCAAACATTCAGGATCAGCCTGATTTTTTTATTAGAATTTTTTTCCTAAGCTTCTCATGAATTCTAAACTTTTTTTTTAAAATTGAATTTCTTGTATTTTTTCTATGAATAAGGATATTATACATGTTTAACACCCTTTCAAATTATTAAAGATTAAATAAACTTTCATTTAAGAGGGTATAATTAATCAATAAGAAACCATCAAATTTATTTGGTCGCTATTTAAAGATCTGACTACCAATGATTGTTTCAGCCAGAACATTCAACAAATAATAATATTATAATTACTTCTACGAAAGACAAAGGATTCGTCTATTATAATTCTTTATTTATATATGTGTGTTTTTGAAATTTATTTGTATTACTCTATTATACTAAATAATATATCTAAAACAACTTTTAAAGACTTCCATCCAAATATTGTTTATTATTCTCTAGCAAGATTTAGAAGTAAAATCTGGATCCATTTACTAAATATTTTTTTTTATCTGTATGTGATTGTACTTGAAGTAATTGCACTCACTTGGGATCTAAATGGATTATCCAACTTGATGTTAGTGCTTCCAGTAACAAATTAGAATAAATCTACCATCTCTGCAGTCTCAAATAATAGTATTTCTTTTCAATTTATGGAATTTTTTTCCACCAAAAAAATGTATTTTATCAGCAAATTTGTTCATAATTTCTTATGTTGGATGAGGTAAAGTAAATATCAAATGATTTAATTTAGGGATTGCAAATGTCTTAAATAATAGTTAATCTGCCAATGGGCGTTAATTTTATTGGTTTCCATTGATTCAATGCATTTATCTCTCACTATCACTTAATTTTGGTAAATAATTGAGATTAATGAGGTTATTTGAATAAATAGAAAATTTAATCCTTAAAAGATCAGAAGTTGTGCTATTCTCGTCTAGATTCAACCTAGATTGAGGACATACATTTGAAAACGTTTTAATGCCAATGCATATCTCTTTGAAAAAATTAATTCTAAAACCTGATTAATTCATGAAGTAGTTGAATTCTGAGCATTCCATTCATATTCTCAGGCGATTTATCTGAGATTGATCATGAATGGTATTCCTTTTTAGGAACTTTGCGCCCTTCTCCATCTCCATCTATCGTTCTGTTCTTCTTATTTTTGTGGGGGGTTTTCTGGATTAAAATACCCAACATTTCAGCACACATCAGAAAAAGATAGGATGATACGGGATCTCCCTGTCTACATTAGATATTATACCAGTATGTATTAAAAAAGATTTAATATTGCTAAAAGTCTCTATCCAGATTTTTATTGAAGCTCCAAAGTTAATATAATCAAGCGCTTCAAGTATATATATTCAGGAGATGGTGTCAAATGCCTGTTCAAAATAGTCCACGTGTTTGATTGCATTCTGTTTAATCCAGTATGCCATAAGTCAGTCTAATATTTTCTCCAATATATCTTCCTTTCATAAATCCAGTTTGATCTACATGACTTTATGTATTTATCATTTAAGGTATTTTTTCATCTGCTTTCTAAATGATTGGTATCTTTAAAAACCTCTAAATTTGGTAGTTCTCTAGGCAAATTTTTATTCTGCAATTCTCCATTAAACAAATTAATTTCCTTTCACCCTTTGTATTCTTTTAAATTATCCCCTCCCTGAACGATAACTACAGGTAAGTCCTCTTTCAGTTGGATTTTGAAGAGTGCCACACTAATATTTTTTTGTAATTACCCAAGGGCCGTTCAATTCCTACATATTTCCTGGGTTTTTTTTTTCTTGGCGTTATTATCATCTCATAGCTCTTTTTTTAGCTTTCAAATCATACTGCCTTTCTAAAGATTACTGTAAGGATCTACGTGTATTGTAATGACCATGACACAATTTATCTTTCAAATTTCGCACAAAACCTAGCTGTCTCAAATGTTTCCATTTGCAGTAGATGCTGGCACGGAAAAGATCCCTCACTGCTCAATGGCCCTGAGTGTTGGGTATAGGTTTAATTTGAAGCTCTCTACCGGCAAGTGGTGGCGTCTCCATATGAATAAAAAAAAATCTCGAGAGGGACGTTAAACAATATACAATCAATCGATCTTCCAAATATCATATAAGTCGATACCCTAGTACTTTTATGAAGCGTTGAATTATATGCCAAGGTAATGCAATCCAAACGTAGATGCCAGTCTTTTTGATGACTCTCTATGTACTTTGACAGCATGTCTTGCATGGTCCTATTCATCCTCTTTATCACATCTTAATGGGATATAGGGGAGCTGTCCTCGTCTTATTTATATGTAAAATTCGACACAACTCAAGAAATAACGCACTTTCATACTGTCACCCTTGGTCGGAGTGCAGCTCAACTGGACACCTGTATCTTTTTATACGAAACAAAACATCAGATATAGTCTCAGCTGTAACATTACTTATTATTATTATTATTTTATCAAATTATAAAGCGCAAAATCACATATAGTTTCTATGCGCTGTACAATGGTTTTTCTAACATTTAATAAAAATATATCAATAAAAACATATAAAATTGTTATGGAAAGTAAATGATCGTTAAATCAAAGAAAGACCTTATATAAAACATGGTAGTAAGATGAAATTGGTTAACTTTGACAAGGCAAAATAAAGGAGAATAAAAAATAAAAACTGATACACAGGATAGTACTTCTGAAGTTGAGTTTACGAGAGATTACACATGGAGTCCTTGATGTTGCGCTGGAATTTTACATTCATAGGTTATATTCACGCTTGAACAAGAGTGTTTTTAGGTTCTTGCGGAATGCTCCATGTGCTCGAAGCTCTCGTAGTTCTAATGGCAGGTTGTTCCACAGTTGTGCACCTAATGTGCTTATGGCTCTTGCACCATATTTGTTTGATGATTTCTCTACTATTAGTTTCCATTTGTCTGACGATGATCTTCTTTTAAAAGTCCTTTGTGGCTGGTAAGTTGGGCATAACTCTCTCATATATGGTGGTGCTGAGGAGGAGTGTAGAGACTTGTGCATGGTAGTCAGCACTTTGAACACAACACGTTGTTTCACAGGCAGCCAAAGCAGTTGTTGAAGTACTGGCGTGATACGTTGTCTGTAGCATGTTCTTGTGAGACAACGCGCAGCATTGTTCTGAGCCACCTGTAACCGGTGCATGTTTCGATCGGTTATGCCAAGCAGAAGGGCATTGTGATAGTCAAGGTGGGATACGACTGTTGCATTAATGACCTTTGCACACGCTTCCTGGGTGAGATGTTGTTTCACCTTGGAGATTCTCCTAATGTTGAAGTACATCTTTTGATATACTTAATACTTACATGAATACTTACAGCTTGCACTCTATCATCTTGCTGCCCTTCTTTCATAATTTGAACGTCAATTTCTGTAGGTTATTGGTAGATATACTGGTAGTTACTGGGCATTTTGCATTGCCTACATACTTCTATTGGTAATTCTGTTAACAGTCATATTGTATCTGCATACTTATGTCTACTTCCTAGCCTATGCACTATCTTCATGTCAAACTGAGTAAGTTGCTTAATACACCTATGTATTTGGCCGTCAGGTTCTTAAGAATTCAACCAATTACTCTAAATTCTACTTATCGAAGGAAAACCTACACAATGACAAAAACATGATCAGATTACCAGTAATACACTATTTTCACTTTTACTGTATCAGGTGATTAGGAAATTAATTATTTTACCCAAGCTAACCAGATTAACACTGCTTAAATAAAGGTTTTATAATAAGTAATTATCGACTGCATTAACATATGTTAAAAAAATTCTATGTCAGACTGAAATTTTTAAGAAACCTAACTTTAAAAGTCATTTTGATGTTATGGATTTTATAAAATTTAAAATGTTCATATTTTTTAACTCCACCAATTTCACTGAAATACTAATTCAATTCCATCTTTTTTAAGAAGAAATATCTTCCCAAATAAAATCAATATTATGATCTACGAAGCCTCACGTCTCCGCTCATTGTTATGTATTGATAATTAATGAGTATAACTTTAAATTAAAACTAGAGGTACTGTGAGCGATGAGCTCACTAAATGATACCCCCCGCCTCCCCTATGGTTATAAGTGGTGAAAAAGTCCATGTTTTCCTGTGGCCGGGAAACCTAAAATATGTGTCGGATCAAAAAGTAAAATAGGAGGTGCACAATGGCAATATGTAATAAAGATTCTGTGAAAGTTTCATCAAATTTCATTCAGTGGTATGAGAGGAGTTACGGATAAGAGATGGGTACCCCAAAGCGTAACAGACGGACGGACGGATGGACAGACGGACGGACGGACGGACGTACAGACGGACGGACGGACGGACGGAATTAACGATTACTATATACCCTCCCGCTTTTCAAGCGGGGGGTATAAAAATTGTTTTTGTGCGTACAAATTATCTGGCATGTAAATGAGGTTTTCCTTTTATTTAAAATAAATATATACTTCATTTTGTTGTTTTTTATCGCGATTCTACGAAAACATCGGTGTCCGTTTTTGGTATTAACATTTATAACAGAGTACTAGATTTACCGCTTTTTGGCCGGTGATACTGCTGATTCAGTAATAAATACGCATGTTTCCTAAAGTTTTTATGCATAAATGAATTCAATTAAACCTAGAAAATGTTCATGAAAAGTTTGAACAAATTCTGTGCACCGGTAAAAAATCGCCAAAAAATCCAAAATCCGGGAACGTCGGAAGTCGGGAAGACTAGATTTACCGCTTGCCCTTTTGTTTTCCTAACTGGACATTAATTTATCCGCGATCCCATCTCATTCTGTGTACTTGTTTTGGACTGCTAACAGGATTTGCATCAGCTATGGAACGCCATCACTGCGTTATAGCATAAAACTATGCATTCATTATGTCAATCTATCGTTACGTGATGTGAACATATCTTTACGTTATGTCAACTTTTTATGGGATGTTGTTAAAATATCTTTACGTCATGTCAATGCTGCATTATATGAAGTAAACATATTCTTCCATTATGTCAGCACTTTATAAGTTGAAGTCCGATGTTCATTATGTGAAAATGTCGTGGATTTCTAATGAATTTCATAAGGAAAAATACACGGAATGTAAATATTCCCTTTTGTAAGTGTATATTTCTATTATTACGTGATATGAATGTATCTTTATTTTTACGCCGAGGTCATAATGATGTAAGGTGAATACATCTTACCTTTATGTCAGTGCTTTATTACGTGATGTAAAAAGGTTTTTTTAAGCATTGAATTCATATTTTTGGCTGTCTTCGGTCCTATAACACACCTGGCCGTGCCGACAAATTCACCCCTACTAATGTGTTCGGAACCTTTTCTTTTTCGGTGTTCTGCAAATTATAAAACCCGATGAGTTCAGAGTAGCTTTGGCAGTGGCTCTGGTGAGAGTTAGCGAGACTACAGCGAGATAGTGTAAATTATTCACGGAAATATGGCTAGGAAGTGACTATCACGTGGAGGCATGGTAAACATAAAAGTTATGTTGTGTTTCAGTTTTCACCACCCTAGAATCAGCTGTTGATGTCTGTAGAAATGTGCTTCAATCAATCGATCTCTCTTACATTCATTCAAACTTAAATAAGTATTCTCTATAATACAATTTTCTGCAGTCATTAATTAAAATTTCTTCTTGGACAAATATTTTTGCACGGGAACCGGGACTATATTTTTTGGTTAACAAAGTTTTGTCCGTTTAAATGCATAAGAGATGCTGCTCAGCCTGCTCGTTTTCCTTACCCTTGACGCGCTGTGTTCTGAACTAGATACAAACTACATCTTATTAAACTTTTTTTTTCGGTTAACAACAAATTAAAAACGCCCGTAACATCTTTCATAGTTTCTTATCTTTGTATTTTGTTCGTCAGATTCTGAACATTTTTTTTGCAGTCCATTGACATGATCCTAGATTGACTTGAACTACGTATTCGAAGTAAAATGTAAACATGTATTTGGCGTAAACGTTGCTATTCATTCAACGATTGGTCAGTTGACAATGGTTTTCCTTGGGGTGTCAATTTCAACTGTTACCCTCCAAAACAGGCACCATTTATATAATGGAAAGTTGACTCAATGCAATTGTAGTGTTCTGCTATAAGGCAGTGACGGCGTTCCATATTAGCTATTTATACCCTATTCCAAGAGAAGAACCTTGATCCTAATTAGGGGCATATTAGGTTTCATATGCCCAACCATGTTCGCTTCCTGATAGGTACCTATCCGGCTGCTGGATGCCGTGCCACCAAAATAGCCAACGTTTGATCCCCGGTGTAATTACTTCTACCTGGTCGTTCGCTTCAGGGCTTGTTCCCCCATATTACCATGATACTGTTATGATAAGTATCAGTATTACACTCACAGCAAATGCGAGAGAAATTTTGCATGTTCATACTCTCATTAAATGGAAAATAGATCCAGGCTATATATTTTAAACAACACCCAACTAAAGCAAAAAGATAAAATGAAAAGCATTCTCTTTAAGTTTGGTCGAAACTCACGTCTCTCTCTCTCTCTCTCTCTCTATAGATACTCAAAGGAGATTCGGATTTTACAGGAGAGCAGCCCTGAAAGCTACGTGTGGGCCTGCAGTCCTGAAAATTATGTGAGCCTGGTCCTACTCGACCTATGGGTTGTGCATCTTCCCTGGTCAGTTATCAATTCCACAGTGATTCAAATGACTTTCAAAATCCTTTCTACCTTTTTTGGCGTTATTTTCCCCCAATTATTATTCCATCCTGTTTAGTGTAGGCTTGATCAAATATAGCACTTGACATGTTCTAACATTTTCTATGTTAGCTGAAATTAATTCAAAGCAGTTTAGAGTAGAAAAGGGTTTATCTGGGCAGTAATTAATTAATGAAGAATACATTTAGGTCTATGGGGACAAGAATTAACGTTTTTTTTTTCACCAGATTTTTTTTTCCCTTGAATTGATTTTTATTCATTAAAAGCAAAGGGGGGGGGGGGTAACTCTTCCATGACAGGACAAGGTAAAAAAGTAGTACACATTCCACTCTTACATATTGGTACATAAAAACATGAACATTATGTCTACATATCCTGAGTATTCAGCCAGTATATTTCTGTTGTGCTTTCAAATTCATTGAATCTGAAGTTATTGTGGATTGGATACCTTAAATTACACGAGGCCCCCTTTGTCAATTTCAAAAGTCCCCGCCCACTGACGTCAAACACAAAGACAGACGCACGAAATCTACATCCATTTTAGGCCTTCTTAGCTTCTGACCTGTCGTTTGGCGAAATTAACATTCCGGTTGAATTATCAAGAAATCAACTCACTTAGCTTTCAAAGAGTTATCACAGAGAACAAATAGAAATGAAATTATATTAATGTATAATATTCTCAATACTGAGTATATGTTAAAAGGACACGCATATATGTACTGGGGTAATAAAAAGTACCCCGGTATTTAAAAAATTAAAAGATTATTCGTGAATATTTACATTTCTATTTGTTGCATCTGTGATAAGTCTTTGAAAGTGGGTGAGTTGATTTCAATCTGAATGTAAATTTCGCCAAGTGAAAGGTCAAGAGAGAAAAGGAGGCCAAATAAGAATATGAATCTCGTGCAGCTATCTTTGTTTAGGTATGCCAGGGACATAAATGACAGCTGGAAACGTGGAATAATTTATGCAATTTAAATCACATTCGAATTAGAGTGAAATTTATTGGGTTTTTTAATTTATTTTTTGTTTTGTTTTGTTTTGTTTTTGTGTTTTGTTTTTATTTTTCATGATTTATTTAATGACTGATTCTACTGGATTTACGCCCTGTCAGTGATCGATGATTAAAGCTGTTTTTCTCATCAACGTATTAATCATACAATGTACAAGGTATATCACCTAATCCGTTTCTAAATCCAAATATGAAGAAATAAGATGTTTTTTTCTCAAAACTTTAAATTATATTCGTCAAAAAAGATACTTAGCAGAATAGAAACGTGGAAATACAAGGGTCTATTAAGTAATCCAAAATGCATAAGACAAAACGCCAAAAGCAGCATCGTTGCAAAATGTACGATCCTCTCCCATTCATCGTTGCAAACAACGGCCAAAATGTACGATCCTCTCTCCCTTGGGAGTCCGAACCTTGGCTTGAGACGATGCAATTTAAGCAGTTTTTCTATATTTTAATCCCTCAAAGTATTCCCTGTTAACGTAATAATTGTTTTTTTTAAAAAAACATGATCAGAACACTTCAGGATACTTCAGGATACAAATCTAAAAGAATTGGCTGTTAATTTTGTATTTACTG